GCTTGCATGCTTACACATGTCCTGCAATACACATGCTGCAGCTGCCCAGCTACTCACTGTTTGTAAAAGTAAATAAATATTATTTTCATTTCAATAATGTATTTTCTATACCCTGCTTCATAAACAATACTGACATCCCTGTGCTCCTCCGAGTCTGGGGGTCGGGGGATGTGAGGACAGCGCGAGGACACAGACAGGGAGGCTGCTTTACTTCATAAAGGAAATGGCGTCAATATTAACAACGTAGGAGCTAAAACGCGTAATAACCTTCATTACGTGTTAAAGAAAGAACATAAGAAAGTTTGACAAAGATTAGGCTGTTAAACGGGCAGCGGGTCCGCTGTGTGTAGAAAGAGAGAGGGAGAGAGAGAGACGCTGAACTGCACCGTGCAGCGATCAGATGATCCGGAGCAGAGAGAGAGAGCTGCGGTCCGCGGGGCTCCGCCTCCTGTCCTCACAACTCTTATTAATCCCGGTACCGGACAATTGTTATTTGTTCCTACTCGGAACCGAGTTTTGCTTCCCAACCCTACCACTGTGCTACACGTCCCGCACCGCCCCGCCCCCGTCTAACAGTACAGAAAGCGGCGAGATGCATTTCCTTAGGAATCGACAAGCAGAACCGAAACTAACATTTCTAAACGAACAATGGCGGACACGGACAATTTGCGAATGAGTTCTGCATTTTGTAAACTGAGTTTATCAATAATTTGTCAATAAATGAGGGCTAAAAACGTCACTTGTCCGCTGGACAAGTCAATTGAAAGATCTACTTGTCCGACATTGTAAATAACACGTCCCGGGCGGTGGGACGTGTGCTTTTTCGCACACTGTATGTACAGGGTCGGCCCTCGAACGCTGTATCCAATTCTCTTTATACATCCATGGCAAACACAAGAACATTGTGATTGCACACTTGCCAACTTCTTGAACACTTCCAATCCCTCCATAATGATTCCAAGATCCTTTGGGTCATCAATCTGCTCCGCACTTTGTTCTCAAATGACAGAGATTAAAGGGCCCATGTCATGCTTTTCCAGTTATTACCCGTCCCCTTGTGTGTTATGAAGGTTTTTATGCATGTAAACGGTGTGCAGAGTCACAAACCCTCAAAGTACACCCTGTAGCGAGTAAAACTCTAACACAGAAAATACCTCCCCAAAACGCCTCGTTGGAGATACGTCATTGTCCATTTGATTCTTCCATTTCATTCCGGGTACGGCATGATGTCAAGCCGTACCCGGAACGAAATGGACCAATCCGTGGAGCCGTTACGTTACGTCCGCAGAGCCGTTACGTTAAGCCCCTGCTGATTGGTCCAAATTGACCAATCCACGGACTTCCTCACACACATCTGTGTGCAGGGAGCAGGCAGCTCAGCTGATTTCTCTCCCTGGCTGCAGGCTGATAACAGACAGTTGGGATCGCGGCAAAATTCTCTCTGCAGACCCATTCTCACAGCGTTTATCAACCTTTTTCTTACTCAATATCAAGCCACACTTATTGTTTTTACTTCGGCTGTGACTTTGTGTGTGCTCAGGATGAGTTTGGCTGTGTTTGGCTGTGTATCGCTAACAAGGAAACAACACCTCCACGGAGCTCAGCGCGATTCACAACGTCCCGACCAATCAGAGCACACTGTGCTCACAGGGAGGGTGGGGGCTGGAGCTATTGGAGCTACAACGAGCCGTTAAAGGCAGAGAGTGAAATTCAGTGAATACACGTAGTTTACAGAGATGCTGTATGAGAAACCAATGTGAGTTTGGAAAATTGCACAATATAAATCTATTCTAGTAGACCTCAACAATGGAATTATGATCAGTGGAAATGGCCATGACATGGGCCCTTTAAGTAAAAAGGCAAAGAAAGCGGAGGAACTAGCACATTACATGATTTGCACTGACTAGAGACCACTGTACATCGGTAAGACCCATCACTACATTGCGGAACCATCAAGTAATCCGTGACAAAATGTTCTGCACTTGTTTGCTTTAGGTGTGGTGAAAACGGAGGAAAAGCATTGGAAATAGTAGACAGGATCACCACTTTAAGAAGAGATAGCGCTCTGAATATGTCAACAGCATTAGGAATAGCGAACATTATACAGAGGGCAATCACAGCGGCTCTCTGTGACAGCAACTTTGTCGATGTTTGAGCTAATTGTTGGACTTCAGGCAGAAATAAATCATGTAATAACAAATAAAAAAATCGTCTGGTTTATCAGTTTGTCATGCATTTCTTTATTACAACACCACACTTGTATTTGTTCAAAACCCACCTCCAAATACAAGCAATTTTAAATCTATGATTTATCAAAGATTACTACTCTGATTAACGCAATTACATTTTTAAGGAAATTACGACCATATTTTTTGCCACTGCTGAAAAGAATCAAAGGCCTAGTGTAAATCTGAAAAAAACTCTTTATTCTCCCTTATCTGGTTTCCCCCTGTTTCTGTCTCTTTTCATACAGAGATGACACTGAGTGATACTGCATTACACATGCAAAACACACACGTATCATCGTACAGTACAAGAAAAGAGCCAACACAAACACCCCCGCAACATGCAGCTGATGCACAATGGAGGCTCTTCAGTAAAGGCACTATTTGTCACTTCCTATTTTACCAACGCTCGGTTTAATCTTGGCCTGAGGTGCCAAATGTATTAAATCCACTAGAATTTACTCTCACATGTTCTGCTGTTTTCTCCCAACACAAAAGCAGAAGGGCAATTTTCATATGTGTAGGCTGTGTAGGCAAAACCCTCTCTGCATGTATTCCACAGAGGAAAAACAAGCTCCTTGACACTATCCAGTCATGTTGGTTAAAGAAAAAAGCTTTTAATCCCAGAGTTTCTGTGTAAACTTAAATCCTAAGTGGGAGAATACATTTTTCTTTCGTTTTTCTGCATACCGTAGGCAAAATCAAGCTTCCTTCAGCCTGACTAATTTTCTTGGAAAATCAAATCAAAGATACAAAAGACTCATTTAATTTTCGATCGCAAAATATTAACAGAATTGTCAAACGTTTCATTTGTTGCCTTCCCTTTCGATGAATTGTGATTTAGCCATTCTGTCCGACATAAAATGCTATTTTTAGTGCATGAGTGACAGCTAAAGAGCCTAATAAACATAATTGGGCTCTATCAGCTGCTCTCTACACCAGGGGGTTTAAGGTGATGGAGAGTGTTGTCAGAGTGTTAGTTACCACCTTGGCTTTCAGGACACACCCCACACTTCAAAAACACTATGAGCTCATTATCCCCACATATGCATGTACACACACACACTGCATCTTTGTGGCAGTATACTGATAGTGCTGTACAGAGAAACTAATGAGAACATTCTTCAAGTCCATAACCTTTACCTGAGAAATAGTGTGTGTTTGTATGTGCGCGGTCCTAACCAGCGCCTGATATCTTGACAGGTAGAGAATGGGTTGTCATTCAAAAAGAAAAATAACAATAGCTGTTTACGGTTTGTCAGCAAATTGAATCTGTAGTGGAAGAAACTAATAGAAAAATAAATAGTGCCTTTTTTCTTCTTCTTTATACTAGCTGTGTGTTGAATGCTTTTACAGTCTCCTCAGGTAGACCTTTTGCAATTAATATAAACAAATCTATTGTCTGGTTGACATACTTTCATGTAGAATAAATACATTTTGAAATTCTGTATCTTTTCAGGCAACAGTGTTTCTGTTGCATAGATCCATATTTTCAATACATTATGATAACAACTGTTATCCTGTTTCCTTCCTATTTTGAAGTAATCTTTCACAAATCTAAAGTTACAGTAAACTGCTGTTATGCCTTGTGTTCTAAAAGTAAAAAAAACTATAAGCACGTCAACCTGCGTTCGACACAGTGAACCACAGGATCCTCCTTTCCACCCTTGGGTGGAAAGGAGGATCCTGTGATCCTGTGGTCCTCTTGGGCATCTCAGGCTCTGCACTCTCCCTCCTCACTTCTGTTGGAGCAGAACACCTCTGCTACGCGCCGTTCGTTGGATGAGGCTGGATCTCTATTAAATTAAGAAAGGAATTGAAAACACCGGAATCAAAGTTATAACAAATTATCTGAGTTTACTTCTGGTAGGAAACCAAACACATATACAAGTTATACAGAGTACTCGAGTACTCCGGAATTCAGGTTTGTGATGCGGTTTACAGGTAGACAGACCAGCCTTCAGGAAACGAGAAGTACAGACTTCAGGTTTGGGATGCGGTTTACACGTCTCTAGACCAGCCTTCAGCAAACCAGAAGCATTTTTACACTCAAAAACATCAGTATTCATATCTCTTTTTGGGGCGGAGATCAGTCGACTCTTCCTTCCCATTTTCCTCCCAAGCGAATCAGAGAGTCCGTGAGGAGGAGCTGTGTAAGCTGATCACCTCCCCAAAGTGTCCTGACTGGCTGGATTCGCTTCTGGCCGGGTTCAATCAGAGGTCTGACCAGCACGTGAGATCCTAAGTTACACCAGGTCAAAAGTCAACGTTTATCTCCACCCTATCTACCCTACATTCCCTTCCCATGGGGGTTTTTCACATAAAGTATCCCTTTTCAGACATTTAAACTTTTCTTCACCTATTTAACGATGTCTTTAACGACTTAAAAACAACATCTGGCTTTTAGGGGTGAAAAAAGGCCAAGTTGGTGTGTGAAAACAGAATCTCTGGATCAGTGAGTTTGAAAGTAAGAATAACATTCCTATTCTAAGTGATTATCAAAACCCGTTTGTGATTACATAAAACAGTTCAAACAATACATGTTCACTAAAATACAATTCAAAATAATACATGTTTACTTCAATACAGTGTAGAATCATATCTTTTTACTTCACTTCCTACCTTACTAATCGCACCTACAGGGTAACGTGGAGAGGATTTGTGTCGGAACCCTGTAGACTCACCACAGAGGTCCGTCCTAGGTCCCCTCCTATTTTCTCTGTACACCAATTCACTTGGTTCTATCATTCACTCTCATGGCTTCTCCTACCACAGCTATGCAGACAATACTCAACTGATCCTGTCCTTTCCCCCGTCTGAAACCGGGGTGGTCGCCATCTCTCAGTGGATGTCTGCACATCACTTGAAACTCAACCTCGATAAAACAGAAATGCTCTTCCTTCCTGGAAAGGGCTCCCCCGTCCATGATCTTACTATCACCATTGATCACTCAGTTGTTACCCCGAGTCGGACTGCAAGAAACCTGGGTGTGATACTGGACGACCTATTGTCCTTCTCTGCCAACATCGATGCGACAACCCCTTCCTGCAGATACACACTTTACAACATCCGGAGGATACGCCCTCTACTGACCCAGAAGGCAACGCAGATTCTGGTCCAGGCTCTTCTCATCTCACGCCTGGACTACTTCCAATCCCTCCTGGCTGGACTACCTTCATGTGCCATCCGACCTCTACAGCTCATCCAGAACGCAGCAGCTCGACTGGTCTTCAACCTGCCAAAATGTTCCCACACTACACCGCTCCTCCGCTCTCTTCACTGGTTACCAGTGGCTGCCCGAATCCGCTTTAAAACACAGGTACTGGCCTACCGTGCCGTGAATGGATCAGGCCCATCCTACATACAGGACCTGGTCAAACCATACACCCCAACCCGCTACATCTTCCGTTGCAGACTGAAAACACACCTTTTTTCGATTGCACCTCGGCAAATGAAATCTCCATTGGCTTCCACCACGTCAAGATACACACGGCTCTGCAACAGCCATCACCATCAACCCAGCCAGCAAGGAGGTCTCGTGGATGTCTCGTATAGTACACGTACCCCCCACCTACACAGCAGCCCATGCACCATCACCCCCACCTACACAGCAGCCAGACCCACTGTCTTAGAAGACGAACAAAGACCTTGACACTGTCTTTACATTTATAATGAATAGTTGGTTGAAAGTTCTGATGTTCAATATTGTAAATAGAGAGATTTTCCAGTTTCTTATATTTATATAAATTGTTGGTTGAAAAAAAAGTTTGAATGCTCAATTTGTATTTGTACACATCACATGAACCTTGGTATGTAATATAGTCATTATTCAGTCCTAACGTATCTCAGTCCCTGCTGTGGTGAAAGTAGAGTGATAAACACCTACCATGGCCAGGTAAATACGATTAAGCTGTCACTATGGGGTTATATTTGTCTGAACATAAAAATAATTTGTGTGTAAATATGTGATTTGTAAATGTAAAACACCATCCACAAATGCATTTAAAAGATTTGCAAACTCACAAATAAATTTGCAAATGTAAAACGGATCTGCAAATACGCAAAATATTTTCACAAATAAAAAAAAGATCTGTGAATATCTCTTTAACATTGACAACTTTCGATCAGGCATTTGTGAATCCATTTTGTATTTGTCAACCAAAAATGCGCTTGTGGATCTCAAATCTCTGCTTGTGGATCGCAAATCTCTGCTTGTGGATCATCCTTTTACATACATAGAGGGTGTTTCTCAATGTCGAGGACCCTTCCTTGGTAGGAGATGTCTTCCGAGTCAGGTCCTTCAGAGGCTAGGCAAGAATCCTTCCTGACATACGGAGAACGAAGAATGGAACAGGCTAGCAAGTCTGCAGGTGTGCGTCATATGAGAGGCCCCGCCTTAAATTGAGCACGATTTGTTTGAAGACTCATAACTGATTTGCGAAGATCGAAGATGTACTTGAGTAACTGTATTTTGTAAAATGATCATCTCTCCAGGAGAGAACCACTAAACCAGCGTTTCTCAAAGTGTGGGGCGCGCCCCACTGGTGGGGCCTAGAGATGTGATAGGTGGGTCGCGAATGGACGCGATGAACGGGAGATTTTTTTAATTATTTTTTTTGGACCTGAAGTAAAAAGATATGATTCTACACTGTATTGAAGTAAACATGTATTGTTTGAACTGTTTTAGGTAATCACAAACGGGTTTTGATAAGTCACTTAGAATAGGAATGTTATTCTTACTTCCAAACTCACTGGCTTAGAGATTCTGTGTTTCAACACACCAACAATTCTTATCATCCATAAAAGCCAGATGTCGTCATTAAGTCGTTAAAAGACATCGTTAAAATAGGTGAGTTTAAATGTCTGAAATAGGATAGTTATGTGAAAAACTCTCATGGAAAAGGAATGGAGTTAAGATCGGGACGGAGATAAGAATTGACTTTTGACCTTAGGGGACTTTGGAATTTCAAGTCCTGGAGAGAACTATTGAACCCGGCCAGAAGCGAATCCAGCCAGTCAGGACACTTGGGGGAGGTGGTCAGCTTAAACAGCTCCTCCCCAGGGGTTCTCTAATTCGCTTGGGAGAAAAGTGGGAAGGAAGAATCGACAAATCTCCGCCCCAAAGACAGATAGAAATACTGACGTTTGTGTGTGTAAAATTGCTTTTGGGTTTGGTGAGTGGCAGGTCCTGAGAACTGTGTCCGTATCGCATCACAAACCTGAAGTCCAATTTGTTTTTGGTTTGATGAGTTGGCGGGTCCTGACGCATTTGTCCGCATCGCATCACAAATCTAAAAGTCCGGAGTACTCGAGTACTTACGTATATGTGTTTGGTTTCCTACTAGAAGTAAACTCAGATAATTTGTTATAACTTTGATTCCGGTGTTTTCAATTCCTTTCTTAATTTAATAGAGATCCAGCCTCATCCAACGAACGGCGCGTAGCAGAGGTATTCTACTCCAACAAGTGGTGACTCCCGACGTTTGTGAGCTGATCTCTAGAAAGGGACACCGATAGCCGGGGGACAGAATCCAGTCCAGGGGGAGGACACAGAGATACTGTTGACAACTACACCAAGGCGCCATATACAAAAGGTGAGCAGACACCTGTTTTGATTATCAAAAATCTGTGATTGATTATACTAAAAAATGTAGAGTTGTCAGCAGCGTTCTCAGTGTTTTTAGTCACGGTGGGAAATACAATACATATTCTAGTTAAATTAGATTATTAGTGCTTAGAGAAGGGTATTCAGTCCTGGATCTAGAGCAAAAATAGTGTTTGAGTGTGGCGGGTAGATCCCAGCCCTTCACTCACTAAATACGAAGGCTGCAAGGCTAGAAAAAGAGGGTTAAATTCCCCGCAGATCATGATAAGATTGATTAATGCGGTTACCTTGCAGCGCTTTAATTAAAGACTATACGAAGGTGTCAAAATAGGGTTAAATTCCCCGTAGGTCAATATAACATTGATGAATACGGTTACCTTACAGTGCTTTCATTAAAGACTGTAAGGCTGTAAAAGAAGGGTTACATTCCCCGCAGGTCATGATCAGATTGATTAATGCGGTTACCTTTTGTGGTGCTTTAAATGTATAAAATGTCTGTAATTGTTATATGGTGGGTGATAGAGGAGGAGAGAGACGCGACCTCCAACTAATTATTTGGAACGACCGTATCTCATCACAAAACTGTTGTGGGGATAATCAGGCTCATTAAACGTGACGATAAAGAGATTTTGTTGACTGAGTTTTTAACTCTTGACCTGAAGTCGCAATCACCGTGAGGAGATTGTAGAAGCCTACTTCTGGAAGTCACGCTATCTGTTGAAATAAACATCGCACAATAAAAATTTGCCTGAATGTGATATGATAAGGTATGAGAAGCTCTGTGTGATTTTTTTAAAGTCGAATCTGTGTAATACTTGAGAGACAGAGAGCAACGAGAAGGTGGTATAATGTCTGAGACCCTACCTCCACCCTAAGGAGATAAGGGCTCACAAATGCCACTTATGAGTATCCCATCTAATACTCCTAAAGGAAAACACATTGTTAGACCTGATATTCAGGGATAAGGAATGTTGGAAATAGTAATGGAAGATATTGAAAATCTTAAACTGGATCAACCAACCATGTTAGTGAACCCTGCTAATATGGAGCTAAAACATGTAGAAAGAATAGCAGCAGCTCTGGCAAAGACAATAGGTCCTAGCATGCAAGCACAGAGCGATAATATGATAAGGGCTATTAAACTGACCCTTTTTGGAAATGGGATTTTCCGTTACATAACGGAAGACTCAATTCAGGCCTTAAAGAACGCTTTACAAACAAGTCAGGGAGTGTTAAATGTGGAGCTATGATGCTCAAAAGGAAGCTTACACTTTTGGGAAGAGATCTCCACTTTCTCTGTCCTGAGGTGCTGTAGAATCAAAGCAGCATACAGGGTCAAAGACAGGCGTGACCTCTGGAGAGGAAGAAAATCTAAATCTGAACAGACCACAGAGCCCATTAAAAGGTTTTATGGCCTCTACAATGAGAGGAAGATCTGGAGATTGTAAGGAACTCTCCCTAAATATCCACCCCCACACCATTGAGGGGAAGAGTGTTCCTTTCACCAATAAACAAATCATCTCTTAACCAAGTCAGATTTCAAAATAGCCATACCTCAAGTTGTTAAGAAAAGAGGGAGATTCAAAAGGTTATCAATAATTGCCCAGTATATTAAATAAATACAAACAGACACGTATCAATATAAGTCAGATAATGTAGACGAGGTCAATCATGGAAGAAGGCTGACATTTAATGCCTGATATATAAGTAATAGTAATAATAAATATATAGCTGATATTAAATAACTGATGTATAAGGCTCGATATTTCTGAAAATGGGAACACAGTTAACGGCGTTCTATTTCAGTAAAAGGGGGAAAAGGATAGGATATACATCAGACAATATGTATGTGAGATTATTACGTTTTTAGGAGAAATTTATCAATTTAAAATACTAGTTATGGTATTTTTTGTTTTGTTTTATTTGTTGCTTTTAAGAGAAATTGATACATTTAAAATAATCTAGCTTTGGTTATTTTTTGTTTTGTTAGTTTGTTCCTTTTTTTGTTTTATTTTTATTTTTGTTCTATTTTTTAATTAAATTTTTAATTCTTGATTTTTGATTTTTAATTTTTAAATTTAAATTTTTTATTTTTGTTTATTATTTTCTGCATAGTCTCTTGTCCACACTCCAGTCTAGTTGGTGCTGCCAATAAACACTAAAGAAGTAGAAAAGATGATTTCAAAACCATATTTCCAGCAACTTAAGGGCTTGGTATGAGACTTCTCCACACAGGCTGCTGACGTCAAAAGGGGGACCCAAGAAACACAAGGCCAACACAGCAGATTACGTCTGATTGGAGGGGACCTCCCATGCCGTCCGCCTAGATGGAAAGGGAGACAACTGGTACCACTGGAGCCAGTGTGCGGTCGGGAAAAACACCTGCGAGGACCCTGGACGACATCAGAACAGATCTGGCTCTCGTCAAGGCAGTCGACCCAGGAGGCGCCATCAGCGGGTCGGAGGAGGAGGATCAGGACATCTCTCCAGCAGTCGACCCAGGAGGCGCCATCAGCAGTCCGGAGGAGGAGGATCAGGACATCTCTCCAGCAGTCGACCCAGGAGGCGCCATCAGCAGTCCGGAGGAGGAGGATCGGGAGGACATCTCTCCAACAGTCGACCCGGAAGCCGCCATCAGCGGGCCGGGGGAGAACAATCAGGCCACATCTCTCTAGCAGGCACCCCAGAAGCCGCCGTCAGCGGGCTGGGGGGACGAAGATATGGCAAACCAAGACGGCACAGGGAACTCCATTTCCCGCTGAAACAGGTTGATATAGCCGGTGTGGAACTTTGTCTGAACAATCAATTTTTTTTTTTTGAGGAACTTTCAACTTTATTTTTATATCCCACAATATAAGGGATTGGTATTTTTTATTCTACAGAACTATGTGTTACCAAAAGAGGGAAAAGTATGATAATGTCTTTTCTAATTTCTGTGGCTACTTTTACTGCCATTTTAGTGACATGTGGTTGTTGTTGTTGTGTGCCTTGTATCTGCTCATTGTGTGTTAAGACTCATCAGTTCCACCATTGAGGGAAGAGTAAAG